GTACATTTTGTGTACATATCTGTAGTGTCCATGGCAGCCCTGCAGACTTATGATATCACTCCTTTATAGATGAGGAAACTCACATTCCCAAAGGTTAAGTAGCTTGTCCACAGCAGCAGGGCCTGTAGGAAAGGCCTTGGCACGGCCTCTGTCATCCCCTCCCTCATGCAGGTGAGATGGGGAAGGTCAGGAGCAAAGGTGCACCAGGTTTAGGGGTGGTCAGAGTTGACAGGCAGCGACCTAAGAAACCCTGCCACAGTTTTTCCTGGCACCAATCCCATGCCACAGGCATAATAAGTGTAGGATGAACCTCACTGAGCCAACAGCCTGTGCCCCCAAATTCCAGGGAGTGGAGGGGGAGGGGCTGCAGGGAGTGCAGTCAGGGCAGGCCTAGCATTGGGGTGCCAGAAGAGAGAGACTTCATTAATCTCTATTTGCTGGCAACACTTGAAAACAACAATTGACAACAACAATAAACCAGCAAACCTGTCCAAAAATAGCAACATGGCCTTAGCCCTCCCCCGGAGCCTTCTTAATCTGAAATCCATCATCTGTCAAATGGCTGAAAAGGAGAAACTGCTCATCTGTCACTTACATAACTAGCTGTCACATTCCCATGGCAGCGGGGCTCCCAGTTAGGCCCACTTAGAGTTCTAGCTGCCAAGCCTTCGACTGCTATTTCTAAACTGAGCAGCTACCAGCACTTCCTCCCAGAACGAGCAGATGGTGATGCCCAAATGTTTAGCTGCCCGATCTAAGAACGTCAGAACCGCATGGGATCTAAGAGATCAGTACGTGCCTAGGCAGAGATTGTTTAAAAATGTATCTTCTACCCGGCAAGGGTTCATTGATAGTGGCTTCTGGGTACACGTTGAGGATTCTGAGGCCAAGCGCAGTTTAGCAGGAAAGAGTCCTGTGATTGCTTAGCAGTGTCTCACCTGGATGCAGACTGGGGAGAGCCCCACCCAGGCCAGGTATAAACGTGTGTGACACGATGCCAATCTCTTAACCTCTCCGAGCTATAGCTTCCTTATGTGTCAATGGGCAGTAATAACAATGGAGCCTCCCCTAAGGGCCCTCGATGGGAAACATGAGAAAGAGTTTGCAGTGGTGAATTCTGCATCATTTTCTTGCCTTGCTTTGCTGCGTTGTACTTTTCCAGGGAAAATTCCCAGCCTGCTGGAAGTGAGCTCCTACGGTGGGTACTCACTAAATGCTTGCTGTGCATTGTACTGAACCTTGTATTCAGTAGACTCAGAGGGGTGGGAAAAGCTGGGGGTGGCTGTGTTGCCGGAAGGAAGGCCCCTGACCTGCATGTGCAGCACATGGCTGGTCATTTATTGGGAATGTCTGGGAGAAAAGCAGGAAGCTAAGCTGGGGAAAGTGCCCAGCAGGCTGTATATTTGGGAGACAGAGGGAAAGGTCATGGAGGATCAGAGGCAAATAGGAAAGGGAGAACAGGGAATATGGGCTCCAGACACCAGGGCCAGAAGCCCCTGAGCCACACCTGTCCCAGTTGGAGAGCTGGCTCTGGCTGGCAGCCATCAGCACGATGTCATCAATCTCATCCTCGATGCGGAAGGGGTGTTGCGAGGTGGGCTCGTCCTCAGGGCATGAGTACGGGCTCATGTAGGGGTGCTGCAGCCCCATCTCGGCTGTTAGGCGATCCATGGGGTTGAAAGTCAGGATCTTCTCTAGAAAGTCGATGGCTGTGGGGAGCAAAGGAGGACATGAAGGCCATTTGTTGCCCCTGCCAAGCTGAGGAGAGACTCCTCCAGGTGGTGACACTTCCTGGAGTTTCTGATTTTCTATTTGTAAAAAGGGTTTTAGCCATTTTCTTTCTCATGATTCTCTCCACAATGCAGTGGCAAAGGCAGAGCAGATGCTGCCTTCTTGATTTTGCAAATGAATCCCAGAGGGATAACGTGACTTGCTCAAGGTCCCCCCACTGGGTAGAGGATCCAGGGCTAGAGCCTTGTCTTAGACTGCGTTTCTCCAGAGACAGATCCCCAGATAAGGATTGCGCTGTGGGTAGTTTATGTGGGGGGATCTCAGGAAGCGCATGTAGGGGAGTGGTAGGAAGCCATTACAAGGTGCACTGATGAGCAGGTTACTCCTGTGGGAACCTGGGGCTCAGTTCTGCTGGGATCCTCCAGGAGACAGTGTGGGACACACTTCAGAGGTGACCACACGTGAGGAGTGGGGAAGTTGGAATGTTCATATACCCTCTCTTGGTCAGGAGTTGAGGGCTACTGGGAGCGGGGTGTGGAGGAGTCTGCTCTGCAAGAAGCCCTTGGGCAGGGTGTCCCATGCGCCAGCAGTAAAGAGCCTTAGTGAGAAAGGTGAATGTGGGGATGAGGAGGTGGGACAGGCCCCCACCCCCCAGAGCTCCTTGGTCTGTGTCCAGAGCTCTCTCTACCAGACATTGCCCCTGGAAGTTTGGCAAACAAAGGCAGGCAGGCTTGATATTCAAAATATTGAACAGCCAGGCTGAAGCCCCCTGTTGGGCCAGGCAGTAATACTTTGGTGGCTAGACCAAGGGGAGTTCTGAGCAGGGAAACCTCAGAAAGGGAAGGGACACTCAGAAGCCTTGTGGCATGGCTATTTGCCAACCAGCATGGAAGTGTATCAGGATTTCAGCAGCCAGTGGCATGTTATGGGTGTGTACTACCTGAACATCAGCTCTGCACACAGGTACTGGTATCCTCTCCCCTGAGCAGGGGTAGGGACCCATCTGCCCTGAGAGCTCTGCCCTGGGTTATCTCAGGGCAAGGTCTACCCTGGAGGCTTGTATTTCTTCTCAGCATTGAAGTCTTTGGAGGCTCCACCTACATCATGATTTGGCCACTCACGTTACAGCCCACATGGAGAGGGAGACATGGAGCTGAGCTCAAGGCCCAGGCTATTGACCCCCAAGGGGCTCTCAGGTGGGCCTCATCCTGCACCATTAACCTGCCCCTCACACCAGCCCTGGATCTCTTTGCAGGAAAATTCATCAATGATTCAGGAAATCAATAGATTCTGAAGGTCACTGGCCTCCCGGGGAGACGCAGTGCTGTGGCGTAACCCTAGACCGAAAAGATCAGTGAAGCAGCAATAACTCTGATCACCCCAGGCACCAATGCTCAGAGAGTGTCTCTGGGTCTGGGGTTGCCTCATAAATTCCCAGGACTGAAAGAATGGGCCCTCCAGGGCAGGGCCCAACTCCAGCTTCTCCCTCGGCCCCACGCATTCTACTGAACTTTATGACAAGGAAGGAGAGAGTTAAAGCTCTAAACACTGGTGACAGCATCACCATGATTGCATTGTTGAAAAAGACCAGTGACTCCTGAAGTTGGAAAGCACCAACCCCAAGGCCTGCTCCACTGACACCATCAAGGAGACCCTCCTCTTTCCTCTCCCTGACAGCTAAACCTTCAGCAGGTGCCCAGACACTTCTGGGGACACAGAACATTAGAAAATTCCTCCTTCTACCAAACTGAAATCTGTCGCCTTCAACTTCCACTCCTGGGCCTGGCTCTGCCCTCTGTGGTCCCCTCAAACTGGCCTCTTCTCTCTGCCCATGATTCACACCAGCCGCTCTTCTCCGGCACACCACTGGCCCCCCTTTCTCAGACTCTCCTGCAGGGAGCTGTGGCTGTGTGACTGGGACCAGTGGAATGTGGGTGGAAGTGGTGTGTGAACCCCACTTCCAGACCTGACCCAGAGAAACCTCCTGCAAGTCTCTGCTCTCTCTTCCCCTGGCTTCAGCTGGAAGTGAATGCACAGGGTGACCTCAAAAGCCACGTATTGAAGGTGACAGACCTTCTGATGGCCTGGGTCCCAGGCATAGCCACTCCTCCGCCCCCCGCCCACACTCTCTGCCACATGCTTCTCAACTCTGTCTGGACATAAGGTGAGCAATAAATAAACTGCTCAAGCCACGTATTGAAGGTGACAGACCTTCTGATGGCCTGGGTCCCAGGCATAGCCACTCCTCTGCCCCCCGCCCACACTCTCTGCCACATGCTTCTCAACTCTGTCTGGACATAAGGTGAGCAATAAATAAACTGCTAGTGGGTTAAGCCACGGAGATTCCAGGCTGGTCTGCTACAGCACTGGCTTTACCTTAACTCATAAGCCACCATACCCCTCCCAAACTCCTTTTCTCTAGGCTCAAAGTCCCCTTAGTGTTTTTAAGGCATTTCTTTTTTTTTTTTTTTCCTTTTTGTCTTTTTTTTTTACTGACCGGTAACGGGATCGCAA